CACATATCTTAAAGTCGCTAAGGTTGAGGAACACTGCTTTATTGCATTCCATCACATATCTATTGGCTTACCTAAAGATAGTTAGGGCAGTGGCCCTACCACTACTTCTTTGGTACAAATTGATATGGGAAAGGAAAATAAGGGAGGAGATGACAGAATGATTCTCCAATTTTTGCATTTGTACAATGGTATCAAGGGTCCAAAGTGTTTTGCAGAAGGCAACCTTCCCCAACTTGGTGCCCTCCAAACAGACTGGACTTCAATTCCATAATCTATAGCAGTGGCATCCATGGGCCTCCTAAGCACCTGTTTAAATATGATGTGTCTCCACTTAGGAAAAAAGTATCTTAGCATAACAGCTGGGTGATAGCACCTTGTTGACCACTGATTATTTCTAAAAGATAAACAGAATCAGATCTGGCAATTATTGGGGTGGAGACAGTTCCAGGCCTTAAGGCCAGATCGGCAAATTAAAAAAAAATACCCTGGAAGAGAGCAGCGGTCAACCATTTCCACACTGTTTCCTTCATGTCCACGAAGTCCCCAGAAACCAAACATCTGGTGAACTGAGCAGCAGCGTATGCAAGCAATGACTAATAATAAATTGTGTTAGTCTTGAAAGGTGCGACCAGATGCTGGTTCTTGGCTGCCCCAAACTAACACAGCTCTCCTCCTATAATTCCCGGTTAGAAAAGTGTAATTTACATGTGGTCTGCAAAAGCTCTACAACAGCAGATAGTTCAGTCTGCAAAAGCTCTACAGACCCCTACTCACATCTTGCCACTGGTCCTCATCTTCCTTTAGCTGGTTGTGAATACTCTGCAACTTTTCATGGCGGGCTTTACTGTGAGGCTGCATCACAGCACCTTCATCTGTGCATCTCATGTCGAACATGCTCACACTCCTGCAAGGAAAGAAGGTTGTTTATCAGCAGCAGACTCTGAACATTTCAGCCATAGGAGGGTGCTAGAGGAAAGCAAAATGTATCTGCTTCCATTGAAAGCTCTGAAGTCACATAGCTTAAGATGCCTTTGGATGTACATCTAAGAGTCATCAAGCTCTTCAGGTGGAACCATATATGGAGTGCTTAGAAGCAGCCACATGCAAGTTGGCTACTTAAGCCAAACAGAAGCATGTCCAAAGCTACCCTTTTGCTCAACATTATTGCATGAATTCAACACAATTCTCTACAGATAAGTGTTAAATTTCTCAACTGTCCCTTCTTTATTGTTGAAAAACATCAAAACCGCATTATCTATACCAGTGATTTTCAAACTTTATTGAAAGGAAGGCTTGTGGTTATTTGTAAACTTAGAGTGCCTCCTCAGTTAGAAGTTCAATAGTGGCACTATTGATTCTTCACCTCTACAGATCTAACCTATGCAGACAATGTTGAACACAGCTTAGTTCAACTAAGTTCACACTCTGAGTTCATGTGGCTTAGTCGCCTGATAAATAATTGACTTTAAGCCAGAATTTCTAGGTTTGAACGTATGTACATCCTGTCCTAATACAAATTGAGGTGTTCTTCCTGAAACTGATATAAAGAGGAGAAGAACAGAGGAACATCTGATTCTGACTTCATGCATTATGATATACTGTAAGAAGTTTTGAATGATTCTCCAAATTGAGACAGTGAGGTCTGATGGAACTAGCTTGTGTTCAACATGCACTGACTACATGCCCTAGGATGTACTGATAGGGAAGAGCTGTGTACATGTTTATCCCTATTCCACCAACAGGCACCACATACACCCTTCAGAATCAAAAAGAGTAAACCCATTCCCAGCCCAGAATATATTTCAGAGAGCTGAAGTACAAAGGCCTTCAGTGGATGAAGGGGTCAGCGTTCTCCCAAACTAGAAAGTTTGAAAACACCCTTATAAACTTTAGCCATGAATTATGTGACTCCCAAGTTCTGATTTCTGTAATACTTGAAATGACACTTTAGAGACAGTTGAGAGGAACATAGCAGCTAGTACTTAAGGTTAAAATGCCAGCGGTGAATAAGCTGAGGTAGACATCTCTGTTGAGCGCACATGCAGAAATGATGTTTTTGTTGTTATTTTGTTAAGAATAAGATCCTGGAGAACACTGAGACATATTAATACATAATAAAACAATGAGTAGTTTCTCTATTCTATGACAATTTCTCTCGCATGATGAAACTAAGAGGCTGGTTATGAATGTTAGGCAAGATAAAATAATGTGTCACACAAGGATAGCACAGAATACAAGAAGTCAAAGACGGCATATGCAGCTGATTGTTTTTCAGGACTGGTACATACATACATAATTTCCAACTTCCTGTATTTTGGCATTATTTAGAAGAACACTTCCTTGCCTCTGGTCCTACTGTCTATTGATGGAGGGAAGGAAGGGTGGAGAAATAATATAATGATACCTAGAGATGGAGTAAATCGAATTAAATGTTTTGGCTAGGAAGGTTCTGTCTGAGGTCTTTTAGTTCAAGACACTAGCAGGAGCTGCTGTGCCAAAATACTGTGCTTTTTCTGAACAACTTACACATCATCTGGGTAAGGAATTCAACTGATTAGTCTACATGGTCATGCAAATAGGATATAAAAAGGCATGAAGAAATGAATAAAGGTGGAATTACACCTTATAAGAGAATCCAAAATTCTTGTATCTCTTCTTCTAGCAAAATTGTAGCTGTACAAAATGTGTGATATATTGTCATCACATCTTTTTTTTACTAAACATTGTGGGGGAAAATGAAGAGTTACAATGCTATTTTGCATTGGTTAAGTAACGTGGAGCTTCACCCTAGAAATTCTAAGGCAGGGGTTATGTACTTGCTCTCACTAACTAGACTGCCATACTAAATTCAGTTTTGACCAAAAATACTACGGCATCTTGTGTCTGGAAATTAAAATATTAAAAATTACCCCTAATTTCTGCCATTTTCAAAGAAAAGTTTTTATTTCAGTTTAACTTTTAGCCTTACATACTACAATTCAATATGTCAAATGAGTCATTGGATTTAAAGAAAAAAATTGCCCGTTATCTGTGAATAAGATATTATGAGTATAACAGGTTTGGAAGCATATTTTGCAGACATATGGTGTATCAAAAATAAAATTAAATATGTCCATTCATCTTCTAATTAAACTTGGTGCAAAATCAAAATAGAGACAATTAACAAAATTAAGAATGGTTTCAATTTAAAAAAATATATTTTGGAGACAGACTAAAGGGTGATTGTCATTTTCCTACCTCCAGTCAGCACTGATATTTGCCACATTTATTTGTTTAAAATTCCAGTTCAGTAAAAGGACAGATGATTTTTAAAATGGGATTTCAATGCAAAAATGTCAGCATTATCAGCAGCTTTGATGTGCAAAAGCACAAAAGGCTTCTGTCTCTATAAAACTATTTTGGGTCTGGCTACAGTACAGAGTTAAACTGTTTTAAGAAAAGATATATATATCTTTATGGAATTGGCAGGAGGAAATTAATGGGTTAGCAGGCCATGTAGCTACAATTCCATCTTCAGTGTGGGAAATCATGAACTTAAATCAGCATAAAACTAATACTAATGTAGAATGTAAAACTAATCAGTTTCTAATATATTTAAATAGATTTGCTGCTTAACAAGTCTGGATGGCAACTATTCTACTAGAAGGGTTGGAAATGGTATTATTCCTGCATATGCATTTTCCAGTATAAGAATCTTTAAAAAAAAAAAAATCTCATCATTATAGTATTGGATGTTCACTCTTGCTTTTAGCTTCTTTGCTCAGAAGATCATGTCTGTCAAAATTTCTGGGGTTAGAACTGGGAGCCTGAACAAACACAGTGAAATGTACTACTGTATTTTATCAGCTCTGCATAATCAGAAGGCCAAGAATCCAAGAAATTTGAGATGGTTGGTCAGATTATGTTGTCCATCTCTACTCCATGCCTGATTTACAGCAGGCTCTGAGGCCTTTCGACAGTAGTTCCTCAAGGCTATGAGGTACCTTAGTTCTCTGGCCATGTGAATGTACTGCTCTAGACGTTAACCACAAAAACAAAATCTGTGGGCAAAAGAAATGGTTTAATTATCTTTGTTTAAACAACCACCACCTCAGCTACATCCCACTGATGAAGGCAGAAAAAGCGGTTTTGGGGATTTTCTGTCCATCATTTCTAACTCAAAACTGCCATCCTAAAACTGCTTTTATCACCATGGGGGAGGAAGAAGGCAATTTCTCAGTGCTGTATGTTTTAGTATTTAGTATAGGCAGAAAACACTTTGGGGGATGAAATTTCATGGAAAAAGATGACAGAAAATGAAGACACCACCTCTTTTCATGGCCGTCGCTTGGAGACCTGCATCTCGGTAAGAATTTTTTTAAAGGGCTTCATTCTTTTGACTTTTGAATTTCAACCAGCTGGGATCCATAAACTCATTCGCTCAATTGTTAGTAAGTTCCTCTCCTCAGCTTCCTGCTTGACAGTCTTTTCAACCTAGCCTACTGTACGGTTATCCAAGCCTTCCACCATCATAATTCTGGCTCCTTTTAATCATCGCAGACCCCACAGAGCTTAAAACAAGAATCACATCGTGAATTAGCAGAGGTTAAGCTTTCCAGCCACTACATGCTTTGCTGCTTTCTGAAAAGTTATGACTTTAATGCCACAGTGAACGTATCATAACAGTATACGTCAAAGCACATGTATTTCCACCAGCCCTGCAGAAGGACAATGAAAGCACAGGAATTAAGGTGAATCAACTGCATTTCAAATTAGTAATAAGTATGGAAAACATGCAGCTTAAATTGTTTAAAGTATCCCAAAGAGCACACAACAACTTACTCTGCGTCATCAGACACAGGGGTTCTGGAGCCGAATCTATAAAATCAAATATAAAATTAGAGATACTGGGCCAGGAGGGTAAGAAAGGATAAAAATGTATTGACTGCAGTGAAAATATCATTTTTCATCTGAAATAAAACCACAAAAGGCAGGAGAGCTGGAAGAGCATTAACATTTCAGAACCATACCCATGAGATAAACTCTACTGTGCCATTCCATAGAACTTTGATTTTTTAAAAAAAGAATTAAAAAAGATATTAACAAAAATGTTCAAAATTCAGAACTATCCTGTTAGCAAGCCACACTGTGAAAGTGAAGACAGAAGGCAATTCCTAATATAAAAGCTGATAAAATAACAGTAATAATAATATTGTTGAGATGAGCAACGCATGCAGTTACTACACGTTATATGGTGATAATTAAATGTGCATGGGGAAGGGATCAAAAACTTTACCCTGTAACACTTCAGATGCTGCAAATGAAAATACCATGTCCTGTTTCTGAAAGGTTATACAATTTATAAGCCTTTCTGATTTGGCAGAAGTCAGATTTCAGATCTCCAGAAAAAATTCTAAGTCATTTACATTTATACCACATCTCCCAAGAATATTGGCCATTTCCTTTGACCACAGTTCACATAGCCCGACTGCTGTGACTGGCGTAGCTTTATCAATTACAAAGGCACATTACCAGCACACATGCATGTTAATATACAATTAAATGTATCAGGCAGCCTGCACACATCTAAACACACTTGATATGTGAGTATCGTGGACATTAGGATGCAGCGTCTGAATTGGATGACAGCTCACATTTGCACAGGTTCATCTTCTAGTGATGGAAGTTGTTTACTATTTCTTTCGAGAAGTTCCTGCATCTCTGGCTGGATTGAATTGGGGCCAGATACATTCTTATGAACAACAGAAGGCACATCCTCTTGGGCTAAATCTGCAAAACTGTGTCTGCTGTGTTCCAGTGTGTATTCGGGTTGCATTGCAAGATTTTGAGAGATTTCTGCCCAAAACTTTAGGGGCTTTTCAGCTCCTACTGAATCTGTCACAATGACGCTAAAAGAAGAGTCGATTTTAGTTTGCAGCGGGATACAGCATGCATGTTTAAATCACACCTCTCCAACCACTTTAAACTGATTCAGAAGCCAAGGACTGAGATTATGTCACAGAGCGTGCATTATAATAACAAAAACAGTATTTTTCAGCATCTGTAGTTCTGTGCACCACCCAGACAGAACAGAAAAGCTAAGAAGTTTAACTGAAGATGACTGTGAATTGTTTTTTAAAGTAGACTGGCACCAACAAATAGCATGTTGGCTTTGATTAAAGGAAGACTTTTTTGATGGCTACACTATGGGTGGCCGCCCAATATCGTTGGGACCATAAATGGCACAGGAAAAAAAAGACGACTTTGTGTCATCCAAAGATAGAAACAAGAGGGAACAGAGAATTGCTACATCACCAGATTCCACCTATCAGCATTGCACTGCTTGCTTCCCACCCTCTGCAGCAGCGCACGATGGCACGGGGTGTTGTTTCCAGTAGCTTATTCTGGAACAATTTTCTTATATCCTTGGTAACTGACATGTAGAAGGTTGCCAAAGATGTAGGCAACCACAACTGAGTGAGTTGATGACCAATGGATCTCCTCTCCAGTTTAAAGTTTGCTGAACTTCCATCCCCAACAGTGTTTGGAATGGGGGAACTCTTTTGTAATTTATCCCGATTCTTTCTTGCACACTAAATCAGCAGATGCTACTCTCACCAGAAGACCAAGATTATTCTCTAACTTTCCGCCCTGGATGTCCAGTATGTTTCAATGGATCAAGTGCTGGATTGAAAGCCCACTCAACCACAAAGCTCATTTGATGACCTTGGGCAATTGTTCCCCACTTGACACAATAAAATGGGGAAAATATGCACTGCTTTGAGCTTATCTTCAGATGGGCAGGATAATTAAACCTGTTTTAAAACAATTCAGTGCATAACTTTTTACTGTTGGTAAAACAGACCCTCTTTCCTTTGTTATGTACAAGCCATAATTATTCAAATTAATTTTGTGTATCTCACACAACATTATGCAAACCATAGACCTACTCAAGCCCAGGATTATAGTATAACAAGTAGGCTGGGTGGGGGAAAGGAAGGCTGGGGTTAACGTAAAAAGAAAAGCCACGAGTGTGGGTAGCCTTCCCAGTTTACTATCACCTAGAAATAATTCTTATTTGCCAGAGGCAACCAAGTCAAAGGCAACAGAACATTGGTTTAACAAAGGAAGGCGAATGCATCGTAACTAAAAACAGAAATCTTGTTCTATATGAAAAAAAAAAGGTGGGGGAGAGAAGGGGAACTCCAGAACAGGTTTCTGACCTCTTCACTTGCTGTTCGGTCTTTATAAACTCTTTAGTTGCTTCCTCCCCATTCTTTTGCTTGGAGAAATGAACAGGAATAAACCGACTCACACTTGGTTCAGCCTGCTTTGAAAAAGCTCCAGTTCTTCTCACCATAACGCCATCTTTCCCTGGATTTTGAAATCCCACTTTCTCACTTTCTGTATCACTTTTGTGCTCACTTTGATCTTTTGATACAAATGAAGGTGCTCCATGACCACGCTGAGTCATGCAAACCCATGAGAAATTTCTGTTAAAGCAATCGTGGGCACCATTATTCAGAAGACAGCAGAAGACCAAGGAAGATTACACAGAACTGCATGCAAGTCTGCTTTAAAGACTGAAAAATAGACATAAGATGCACGATGCTGTCACATGGCTAATGTTAAGCATGTATTATCCTGGAGTGTACATGAGATATAAACTCTTTGGAAGCCCATGAAAGGACACACTGAATTCCTTTTAGGAAATCCCCAGTACTGTACAATAAATAAATAAGTACATACATACATAAATCATAATGACATTCATTGTACTTAACATCCAGCCTGCAAAAACTCTATGCAGAAATGAAACTGTCATGCAAAACTAAAACAGAAAACGGAATCGGCCAGCAAAATGACCCTGCTTCTTTTGACCTCCCATGGAATGTAATAAACAAATGAACACATACTTGTGTTTACAACTATGATGCTTTCCTAATCTTACAACCTAACGTGAGAACCTGCAGAAAATCGGCTGGTAGCATAAAGCTCTGGGAAAACTAAGTTAGACATAATCAGTTTTCCTTATATCACTTGTATTCTTAAACTTTTACCATACTGATTACCTTCTGCTGTAATATTATAGTGCCCAGTTGGTTTTCATTGGCAAATCATCATTTGATTTAATCCTTTCTTCTGAAGAAATAGAACAAACCCCACAAACATGCAAAGTAGGCATAAGAAGTTCACAACAGCTGGTATCTGGTTTCTAACCTTTCTGTTTTTTCTGCTTTCTGTGGAATTTTTTGCTCCCTCTGACCAGCAACATTTCTTTGGTGCTTCAATGGATAATTACATATTGCTAACTTGTTAGCTGTGTGGACTGGACTAATCGATTTCTGAAAAGTTCCAAATCTTCTAGCCCTCATGTCATCTCTTTCAATATCTGGGAGGCGGCTATCCAGTTCTTCTTCGCTATTTTCATGCCATTCACTCAGACTGCTTGATAGTTGCCTCTGGGAACCGGCACAAGCGTCCCGGACAGATGAATTATACCCATCTGAATCGGACAACGTTATTTCACTAACAACATAGGAGAGCAGGAGAAAGAGGAGGAAAGGGAATGAAAACCACATGGAAAGGCACAGAAGAAACCTTTACTTAACCACCTTATCTTTCAAAATGAACATCAAAGCTTCTTAATAGTATCAAAAGGGATTTTTTTTTTTGCACCAACATCTGATGGTTTAAATAATGAGAAGCTTAGTAAACGCAAATGCTTTGGATTCCCCCCTCCCTTAAAAAAAAAACAAACATCCAACAGATTGGACCACTTTTAAGACATACACTTCAAATGTTTCCAGAGTGGAAGGCACCACTTTTTTTAACCAATTGTTTTCAAGAGATGGTTGAAACTTTGTTCTGCTAATAATAAAACAGAAAGTATACTGGTACGTGAACGTCACAAGACCATTTTTTCTGGAATACTCATAGTCCATAGCCAACAGAGCACTGAGAACTTCATTCAATGCTAATCAGAATGTGAAATCTATCAAGACAATCTGGCTAACATCCCTTTTTGTTGATGGATTAATCAGTTGGTTTCATTACAGTCACAGACCAGTGTCAAAGATTCAGTTAGTACAAGGAAAAGATATATAAACTATATAGTATTTCATAAAATCAATATAATATACAATAAGAAGAAGTCCCGAGTTTTATCTTCCCTCACTATCTGTTCTTCTTTACAACAGTGCTAAACAGGATTTTGTGACTTGCCACAAGATCTTCAGTCTTTCTCTACAAGTAGATAGTTTTCATAAAAGTCAACTGGAACGACGGGAAAATTTTGTATTAGGGGAATATCATGGTGTTACAGATGTCCCTACTGAAAATGTAATATAGAAAAAAGTGGGCTGTGTTTCTACACCACTTTCCCCACATAAGTGGACCTTTTTGCTGAGCAGAGTGTTCTCCTAGGCTCAAGAACTGCTGAAGGGTTCAGCAGCCGAAATTTTGTATCAGGATCCTGCCAATCACACTTGAAGAGGTTCTACCTTGATCTTCCTGTGTCTTTATAATGTAAACTCTGCTTTATGATATATCCTGCTTGGCTGTAACTCATTCCCAAAATCTGGAAGAAAGCCCACATTGTAGCATCTTCCACTCTACATTTGGTTTCCAGGAAGCATGGAAAGAATATGCCAGTGTTAGGGGGGGCTAGGCCTTGTGATGAGAAATTAAGCTTTAACCAAAATATATTCATATCCAGGCCTGAGTTTCAACTCAAATAGGTCCACCTCTAAGCAAAGTGTTGTACGTGGAACACCCCACCCCACTTGAAACATTTTCTTAGAAACTTGGTCTGAATAGTCTCAAGTAGAAGTGTCTTCCTATACTTAATCTCACTCCATACAGGAGTTGCACTAGAGATTCATCATCCCCTTCTGAAGACAACACATTAGGACCAGTTTATTCTCACAGCGGTCAGTTCACATTTTCCCTGGTTTCCATCCTTTGTCATTTTATACAGAGGGCTTATTTAGTTAAATTGGAAGGAAAAGAAATCAGGATCACCCTATGGATGTTCTCAGGCCAACGTCACTTGTACTTTCAGACGCTGCTTTTTGTTTCTTGATCTGGATTACTGGTAGGATATAAGTGCACACGGGTTTCAAGAACAAAAACAGCGTGTTATGATCTGGCATACTAAGTAAGTGCCCTGAATCCCCTAATTCTGCACGCTGGATGCTTTTGTCTAGAATTTTACGGGCTAAAGGTGTAAGTAATGGTAATTTCCAATAATGTTTCTAAAGGTTAAACAGCCAATGATTTTATATTAGGAAGCATCTATTTTTGAAACATGCATGGGGACAATGACCCTGCCAACCTGTTTTTAACCTTTCCCATGTTCCCTTCTTTTTCACTGGAAGAAAAATATCCCAGCCATTTTCCCCTGAGCTCTCCGCTATGTTATAGTTCAACGGGGGTAGGATATTTTTTAAAAGAAGGTTGCATCTTTTAAGAAGTACCAGCAAACATGGGAAGAGTTAAGCACCCCCAACCTGTACAGCCCTTCCTGAAGATAGTATTTACGGTTTGCTTGGTAATGTTAGTGTTAGGATGAAAATATTATATTTACTTCATATCATGTAATTCTTCCCTTACTTCTAGAAACTGTGTTTAGGAATTGCTAGCAAAGATCAAATAACTTAACTACACTCCTACTTTTCTAAATATATGCATGTAATGTATAAATGGCTTTTTATTATGGCCCTGCAAATTGCACATTAGACAATCTGCATGCCACGTTCACCTTTCCCTCCTATCACACAGACTTCCTTTTTCACAATGCGATGTCCATCATTAACGTTCAAAGCTTTGTCTTGCTCTAATATCTTTGATGTTCAGAAAATACTTTAGAGAACAGATGTTGTCACAGCAACTCATGGGGACACGAGATCAGTGCACATGTAAGCCAGTAGTAGCTTCCCTCCAAACTGCTTTTATAACTGATTTCCAAAGCCCCCCAGCAGGAGGATGAATTGAAATTCTGGGAAGCAGGGGGAGAGGGAGAAGAATCAAGTGCATTAATTTAACATGCACTGACGTAGAAGATTTTGAAGAATCCCAGCTTATCATGAATGGACTGTAGGGTAGAGAGCTCAGTTTCCCGTTATCATTTTGCTAAAGTAACCTGAGCAAAAACGTGCCACCCAAATGCAAGTCCCAATATACTGCTTCAAAACCAGTTAGAATTTTTAACCTCCAAACAAACCATGATTTCTGATTTCTGAGCAGGACAAATCAAGATTCCCATTTCAGACGCCGTACTAAGATTCCCATTTATATTAGTGGGTGCGTTAGTGGGGAAGAACAAAGGTGAAAGGGACATCTACAGTGGGATCCAAAAAGTTAAGATGGCAACTGCCACCGAAGAATAAAAGCTCAACCCTCTTTTTAAATATGTTGCCATGAAATGCACATTAAAGATCATCAAGGTTTCAATTACATGTTCGCAGCCACCATCTTGACTTGGATGCCCCTGGAACAGTCAGTATGCACTAGCATATACTGTAGTTACCTCATCTGTTTAGCTATTTTTAAAAGTGACATGATGTCCTTCAAACCAAGTTTTCTCAGAGGAGCCTATAATATTCTACATAAACAACTCACAATATAAGTTATGGTCCCCAGTGTGCTAAGAAAGATTTGGATAAGAATAAATTCCTTTCTCTGCCAGAGCGCCTTCTTTATCTTCACCCATTTCCTACAAGATACAGACTACCTCAGCCACCATCAGTCTCAGGATGATAACTTCTACCAAGTAATGCAGGAAGGGTTCTTCAGAATTCTGGCTTCTTGTTCTGTGTGAACATGGAAAATGCTGATGCATACTTTCATGCTAACCTTCTTCTTTCCATTTTTTCTTTATTTCTATGTAGCAAACTAAATATTGGAATTAATGTGTGGGCTGTAGACCTCCCTAGTATGATCAGTGGACTTGACATGACTCATAGACAACAAGGATGAGATTTCACTTGAGACACCAAAAGCCCCAGCACTTTTTCTGCTAATGACTTCTTCCATTTCATCTTTAGTCATGGCCCTAAATAGCTCCTCCCATTTCTGTTGGTCAATTTCCAGCACTGGCTCAAAATGCACATACCTCTGTTTAAGGCTGGTGGCCTTAATCAGTGTTCTCACCTTTGTGACTTGTAAAGCATCTGCGACTGGCAGCTTCCACCGCCATTTCAGAAGATCAAAAATGATCCTGAGGAACTGAGAGTTCCTCATCACTATCACCAAAGAAAGAAGCACAAAGGGCATATAAAAAGCTCCTCCCATTTCTGGAGGTCAGTTTCCATCACTGTCCAAAATGCATGGACCTCTGTTTAGGACTGGTGACCTTCTTGGGTGTCCTCCCTTTGTACCTTTTAAGCAACTATGAGTGCCATTTTAGAGAACTGAAAATGTTCCTGAGTAGCTCTGAGTTCCTCATCACTATCACCAAAGAAATAACCTTAAAAGGCATACAAAAAGGAACTAGGAGACGAAGGAAAACACAGGCAGAACAAAAGTTGAATGAAAAGGCAAAGAAAACCATTCAATGAAAAAAATATTTGTAATGTTAAAGGAGTATCTGGAGGTGGGAGATTGGAGAAGCTGATGTAAAGGAAATGAGTAAAACTGAGAAGTTTAGGAATAATAAAAAGCCTCCCCAGAGTGAGGCAAACTTCAGAAATTGACAACTAGATCCAAGAATAGCAGCTATTTGATTCCAACATAAGGCATAATGGAAATCTGGAGAGTGTAATCGCAAATGGCTTTGGAAGGATTGTTTTTTAAAAGTTAGATTATGCCCACAGCCCTTCTACTAAACTTGATAAAAGACCATCATCTAGCCAAGTTTGCTTCTGACATGTTCCCATGCAACACTGAGCAGAAGGAGGCCTGCTGCAACAGCTGCTTCCTGAATGGGAGTGCCAAGAAGTGGGAAACCCAAAATGGAAACTTGAAAAGTGTTTCTTTTCAGGCCCAGATCAGGGATTTCCCTGATTCCCATATAGATGTGATCAGAAAATTGTGTAGAAGGCCTCAAAGGTGGACCATGATGTTATTCTTAGCCAAGTAGGAAAAAAGTATTCCCTTGATAGCTTATAGAAGGGTTGGCATCTTACATTCATAAAGAAAGCATGAACATTATACATGCAAATATCAGCAGAAGATGATCTGTTTTAAAAGACAGGTCACCTCCTCTTGCACCTTAGGATGTTCTGCAGGCAGAATTAATGGTCTTGGAACATTAGTATGTCGAGGATGGGTGAATTGCTGACCCTTAATTTTTTAAAAGATAAGCATGTCTCACTAGTAAATAAAAAACTTTGGAAATTGCATGAAATGTGACATCATCTTCCTTCATGTAAACATACCTCGTCTCCCCTGACACTTTCAGTCGATCCCAGATCTCTTTATCTTTTTGGGTTATAGATGCTTTCACAAAACTTAGAAAGTCTGGTTGGGAAGGATTAGTCTGAGTTTTTTTCTTAGCCAGGTCCTGACTCTGCGTATCAGGGATTTTTGCTCTGCCTTCTTCCTTGGACTCATCCTCCCAAGACGTCAAGGATGGTTTGCCTTCACACAGCATCTCTGTCTTTCTCGAAGTCACGGGTATCTTTTTCCCACTAGTGAAATGTTCATTCCAAAATCAGCAGGATAAAGAAGGGTTTTGTAGGACAAGACAAGGACAAATCACACACCATCAGTGAAGTCCCAAAATTGCAGTATTACATAAATTAGGAGGAGCAGAGAAGCAACTAGCGATCACGGCAATTTCAGCTATTGACTAAGTACCCTCCAATTTTTAAAATTACCATTAGGTTTTAGCAGGCTCGGCATTCTAAGCAGCCTCTAAGGTATGTAATGTGAAAATGCAAAAGTAGAAATGGTACAATTATGCCAGTTTGAGATCCTAGAAATGCCCAACTAAGCTATCCTTGGGGGTCAGATTTGCTCTCTACAGACCACTCTGCAGATTAAAACTAAATCTATTGATGCATTTTCCTCTAAGTTTAGCTCATTAACGATACCTAATCCTGACAGTTACGAAGTCTACTTTCCCATACTCTCATGAATTCAAGTTTTGTTTCCAAATATAGCAGCTTCTGAGAGTTTTTACTGGCACTAAGTATTTCACCATGGCCAAGTTTGGCATCTGACAGTTCTGATATGTATGTTCTTCAGAGACGTTTCCAAGACATTACTCATAATATAGACGCAGACTATAAATGTTGACACATACATTCTGTCACAAAAGCGAGACTTTTTATCTGCCTTAAAGCAGCTGAAACCAGCAGATCTTACAAGAGATTTTCTGAACTCACTGGGAGAGTTGATTATCCTGCAATTCACTTTGGCAAAAGGCTAAACATATTCTTTATGCACATAGGACAAATAAATACAGAGTATTATACTTGTGACCCCTACAAAGGCCACTATTTGACACTTTACTATAAATTATACCTTTGGGTTTGTAGGAAAAAACATCAATTTTTCAAAAAAGAAATAGATGTCCTTTTGCAATCTCCTTTGCTTTTTTATTCTGTAATATTGAATCGACTGAACATGACATAAAATGCCATGGTTTCTGTGGTGTCAGATCAATTCAATTGTACAAAATAAAAACGTGACGGGAGATTGCAAAGAGACTTCAATCTCTTTTTGAAAAAATCATTTTATTTTATTTTTTAACAGAACCTAAAGGTATAATTTCAAAAAAATACCAGATTTTATCTGAAATAGACCATGGGGGAATCTGTCACAGGGCTAAAAGAAGGCTGGGAACCATTAAATGATGATACATGGCCGTCTTTATGGCAACATGTGGGATTCTTATCAGTATCTATACAGGAAATAGATCTTAAAACTTTTATATTAAACTGGAATAAGTTGGGCACCACCGATGGCATCAACCTCTAATATCTTATAAATAGTCAATGAGTTGCTGGTGAGGTTGTAAATCAAAGAGCATATTCTTTCACATCTGGTGGGAATATTTATTTATTTGTTTGTTTGTTTGTTTATATTTCAAATATGATCAAGTGTTAGATTTTTGGAAGAAAGTATTTAATAAAATGTCATACAGAACCAAACAGAAGACTGAATTCTCTCCAAGTTAGGCTTGCTACCCAGATTTGATGGTCGGAACAAAACACTGCAAAGTTAAAGCACTTTATAAGTTTCTACTTTTAGCAGCCAAATTGCCAAACATTGGAAATATCTGGATAGTATCTTAGTGGAGAAATGGCATGATAAGATCTGGCCTATAGCTTTGCTTGAGGAAGACTCTGCTAAATCCATTGTATGACAGGGCAAAGCAGTGAATCATTGTTCTACAAGAACTGGTGGGATTGCCGTGTTAATATAAGAGGGAGTATTATAGGCAAGTTAAGATGTACCAATGCTAAGCAAATTTTTGTTTTAAAAACTAAAATATAAATGATATGAAATGTTATTCTATTCTTTTTAAACTCCCAGGACACAATGGGAAAATTATTCTATCATCGGCTGTCCTTGCCAAATTCAGTGTCATTGCATAATAGGTGAATTTTTGTACAAACTTGGCATGCCCACACTGTGATTTCTCATACTACCGAGTCAACATATTTTTTAAAGAAAAAAAACGGTGACTGGTCAGTATCCTTATGACCAGGGACCAGATATTTCAGGAGGATTTACTAATGTTCTCTGATAATGTTGCATTACCCATGAGAATCTCACACTTCAACCTGATCCATACTACAGTGCTCTCATCCTTGTGGGGAATTCTGTAGAAAAGATCAAAAAGCATGCTCCAAAGTTGAGCAAAAGTGCAGATTTGTAACTCTTCTTTACTAATAAAAATCAGCATAAAAATTCAAATAAAATAAAAATTAGCATATTCCAAGCCAATACTTTGAGAAGGAGCTGATAGCTTAGTGAGGCAAACTTTTTTACAGGTCTTAGATTGGTACTATGTATGAATCCTAAAAATGATCTGCCAACATTCACCACTCCAGACTTGATTTCACAGCTACTTTTCCCTGAAAAATAGCATCAGTCAAGGAACATTTAAGAAGAGAGAAAACAGAAGAACTTCTTTGATTCCTCAACGTAACTAATGGAAACAATCTCCAATGACTTGATTTCCACAATCTTCCTTTCAAAGAGTAGGTTACTCAAAGAAATTTTGATGCTTTGGGGATGCCAATCAAAATGTCCTGCTATCCCACCAGAAAGTAATAATTCTGACTGATACTCCAACCCCATTTTAGTGTCCATATTTTGTAGACTGACCCCCAAATTTGCCTAGCTGACAGGAAAGGTAGCTCAGTTCTTATATGTTTTTTTAAAGGTGGGAACGAAGGGTAAACCATGCTTGTTCAACTCCTTAAAATCAGTGCATCTAAACTCCAGCCCTCTCTGTACGTAACACGACTAACTCTATATACATTTTCAATTTCAGCTGCAAACAGCCATGCGAGAAGTACATCAATTCACTTGATGATTTCTTATTTTCAAACTAATTTCTGCAACAGACAAATATGTGAGCACACCTGGAACATTCCTGCTTTTTCCTTTGTGTCTTTCCTTCTTCCGCTTTGTTTCGATCTTTCTTTGTGTAGGGACCAAGGAAATTAGTGAATGGCAATGCATATGGGCGGTGATTTAGCCTTGCTCTGCGTACTGCAAAATCGTCTTTCTCTAGGTCAGGAATTTTATCGTCTTGTTCATCTTCAGAGCCAGAATCTTTCTGCTGATAGCACCACATAAAAGGGTTCTCTTTGCGAAGGATGATGTCTGAGGTAACCTCATTCACTTCACACATGCGCTTTTGACTGGTGTGCAGCAAAGTGACATAAGAAATCCAGATGTGAAATAGACAAAGAACCCCATGACTCTCCGCATTTTTAAAAGGTAGAAAAAATAATGCAGATGCATGCTTTTCGTTTAAGGCAATTTCCCCTAGTCTGTCCCCCTCTGATCATATTCCACTGTAATCCCCATTATCCCCAGGCATCAAATTTGGGGACAGTGGCTGGGGGTGATGGGCACTGTAGGTCAACATACCTGAAGGGAAACTCCATGCTGCAAAATCTGAAACTCCATGCATGAAACATGTAGTAGCAGTAAAGTTTTATTGTTTTATTAGTGGAATAAGCATGGACACATGAAGGTTGGCATGTTTCACCATATAAAGAAAAGTGCCATTATTCTCAAACATTGCAATATCCTTTTTTTGTCTCCTTACTAGTTAAGGCAGTTCCTAACACGCCCATCCATCATGTGTAATACCTTAAAATACACTGATCTCCCATTGCTGCAATAATGGGAAGTTAATTTAGGGAAGCTGGTTTCCCTAAAAAGGATGGATCATACTTTCATCTGTTGGAGACTTCATAAACTATAGTTTGGGATGTGTTGGCCTTCTAGGATCTACGATGTTTGTTTCTTCCTTTTTATCTGATCTGTACCCCACTATCTACTCATTTTATTACAAATACAAAAAATAAAAAATTCAAAAGCATCAAATGGAATCCAAATAAACACTGATTACCAGTTAAAAAGCATCCCGGTTACCTCCCAGAGGTATCTACAGGAAAGTCCACAGGGAGGCCACACCTACGCAATTTTACATCTTCACAGCACTTGCAAAAAAGGGCAGGGTTTTGATGACATTGTTGGGTCTGCCATGTTTACTATTCTGATGCGTCTAAAAAGGGTGGAACTTCAATTACAGAGTTATGGCTGCCACCTGACTTTTTTAACCCCCCTCCCTGTGGCCATCCCTGCTACCTTCTGAAGGAGGGGAGAGTTGGGGCACTTTCTAAGGATAGCTCAATGTAGGGTGTGTTGCAACAGTACAACAGATTGCAATCAAGGCATGGACAAATGTTGCAAAAGGCCCCAGAATGGTTGGAGCTAGTGAATTAGCTAAAAGTGTGCAAATGCACTCCTGCCCTCAGCCACCAAGAATGAGTCTGGTAACACCCAGGACCAGTGCATTCCCCCACTCTTCCAGGGGTCAGGGAAGTGCAACTTCAGTTCCTATCGACCTCTGCTTTGTCTGGAGTTCATTTCAAATTGGTTCTCCCTCATCCAGTCACTCTCAAATGCTGGCAACGTTCAAGGATTGTGATGGAATGGCATGGGACTGGAAGGGGGGTAAAGAACGTGATCTCGTCTCCAGAGCAATGCACTGGAGATAAGAGGCGAACGCTGACGCCCCCCTAACATTCCAGGAGATAGTGAATTCCTGTTCCTGGGAACTGCTGGCCAGTCTGAGAAGAGTCTGTGAACAAGCGCTGGCTAATAAACCTTGCTGACTGAACCTGCACGGTCTCCGGGAGTTCCTTGGGCTAGGCCTGACAAGGATGCTGGCCACTTCTTTAAATTAAATGCAAGGAGATGTAATGATAAGGGCATTATCATAACTAGATGGCACTCCTTTCAAAGCTTCAAACTCTCTTCTAGAGAAGCTTATGGTAGATTTTGAACCACAGCCACAGTTCCATAGAGGGCTCTCTACTAATTTTTATATTAGATCAATGTAATTGGGGGTGGGGTAGGATCACTGAGTTTATTCTTAGTGACTTAATTTAAAACTGTTTTTATTATTCTCCTGTAAACTCCTCTGGGCTTCTCCAGGAGAAAAGAGAGGCTTAGAACCAAAGGAATAAATGAATTTTCTTGTACAGGAGACAACCACATGGTCATCCACCATACCTATTTCAGAATGAATATGAGTTGTGCGGTCATCAAAAGTCACTGCCTACTAGAATACTGGATGTTCAATATTGTCTTGGTTTATGAATCAAAGGGGGTCTCAATACCTTCATTTAATAGGAAAATAAAATTACGGTATCACTTTTGGTCCTTTCTTCTACTGCTTGGGTCTTTACAAACTATTATAGGGCAACCAGATGTTATTTATGATCTAATCTATTCCCAGCAGTATCATTTTAGAGATGTGACTTGAGGTTACAGCAGCATTTCAAGTTCAAGTTTTTCTGCTCCCGTTTTTTTCCTTAGAAAGAAAGGCATGACTGTGAAACAAATGGACAGGTAATGTGAATTTATGTCACCGTGCAGGAATGACAGAATTCATAAAGTTGGAAGAGATCATAGAGGTCATCTTGCTCATGCCCTGCTCAATCAGAGGAAGGAAAGGTACCAATTGTGTGAGTAAAACTCTCTGGGTCCCAGCTGGGTCTCCCCAATGTAACAGAGCTCAGGAACTGAGGCTTCCCCCCTCCAAAGCTGCAGCAGTGAAAGATGGGTGAGAAAGGGGGAGGAAGGCCACATGGCTAGTGGGCCTAAGCCGTCAAGGGTCTTCCCTCCCTTCTTCAGTCATAACAAAGCATCCCTTCTTTGAATGAGAAGAGGAAGAGGAAGAGGAAGAGGAAGCTGGCAGTAGTGCCACCGTCATTACTGCTGATTCAACTGAAGGGGCGTAGCAACAATCTGAGCTTGCCCTTCCTTCCATGTCTCTCCTCCAGGAGGCTCCTGTCGGAGGACCTGTGAAATCAACTTTATTTAGGAAGATGTATGGCAAGGGGAACTCAAGATGGCCGCCTTCCCCATGTTCACTATATATCCCTGAATGACACTACTCTTGACAGAAGATTATCGCAATTCAATTTAAGGAACTTTCCTTCTAGAAGCGGTGTATCACAGTGTTATATATCTCTCATTCTGTTAATTTCATCCCTGAAACTACAGTATCTCCAATTTTTGGTTTTCGTCATGTCCCCTGGTACAGTAGAAAACAGATGTGCTACCTCTTCTGCAACATGCGCGTTGGCGTTGGAGTGACTTAAAAATCATGTCTCAATAAATTTCTACAGACAAATCTAAAGAAGAAATCCCTGCAACTGTAACTTCTTCAGAGAAATCCACAGAGCACGGGGAGCACTTCATCGTTCTTTCATGGCAAATAGGTTTTTCCTGACCACCAGCTAGAACGCTTACATTGCAGTGCAATACTAAACATCTTGTTCTACCAAATGCAGTACAACTGCAGTGCCCGTGGTGGAGGGGGAAGGTAAAAAATGTCCAGATAGTGGCTGTGACCACCCAGTTGAAGCCACACCCTTTTTTATGTGCAATATCTGCGAAAAGAGGGTGGGGATTGTATGGTCATAGCCACCATCTTATTTTTCTGAACCCCCTTCAGGTGCCTCCATGGTACCAGCAGTCTTTATGGCAAGAAAACAAGGAATCTTGTTGATGAGATGACGTGATCCTTTCTGTTCAACTGACCTCTGCTAGCTTGGCTAAACCATTGTCCATGCCTGTTAGCAGTTTTGAAGGGGATGGAGAAGCTGTCAGGCTGGAGCCAAAGGTGCTTTCCTTTTCTGGACACATGTGCTGAACATATCATGCCCAACATAACTGCTTCTCCAAGAACAAAGAGCTAAGGATCTAAAATGGAAACGTACGGGGAACCTTCTGCATTCTAAACCATTGGATGAGTTATCTTAACATAAACAGGACGAAGGAGATGAACAACGAGTGCAGTAGTTCAGGCCCAAGGCTGTTGCTGAAGTCCAAGAATTAATAGTCATTGCACGCATGAATTCTGCTGCATTCTAAAGACAGGAAAGGTTTGTTAATACAGCATAATAGAAATCTCACCTGAGTTTAGCCTATTCCATTACAAACCAGCTGGGCCAGCTGGAGCATAAAAAACTCCTGTTTATTTTTGCATTTATTATGCTAACTCACACATCCGCTGCACCGCATGAATTCCAGATGTGCATGGAACCTCCTCAACACCAGCACAGTGGAACTTGTTTTTCAGCTTTATTTGCCGAAGTTTTATTATGGGACAAATGCCAGATGGCATGCCACGAAACAGTTCTACACCTCTTCAGCTCGAAATGCTCAGAATCATCAAAGTAGCTAATTCCAGGGATCTCCTGGCATTTCTAAAGTAAAAAACCCCCACAACTTCTTGCTCCCTCTGCCTGAGGAATGTAATGCTGAAATCATAAAGTCAGGCAAGATTAGGACTCCATTTCTAGGGAAAAATTAACTTGGAATTTGCAGTCTTTGGCAGCGTGACTGCATTGCTCATTTAAGTAAAGTGTTTTTGTGGCCAGATTTTGCTCTCGTTGGCTAATGCTCCTCTGCTGGAACAAGCTAGGCTGAGAATGGTTTCTGCTCAAGCTAAATGGAGTCTGGATTTGTGTGGGTGTGAGTGCATGTTATATGACCGAGCAGATTCACTATTTACAGTAAGCCACTCCGTGCAGGCAATTCTCTTTAGGTTACGGTTAACACTGCTGCATCTGAACTCAACCTAATACACATCATCAAGTGTTACCTACCGTGAGTGTGTGTTTGAGGTAACAAAGCCAACGAGTAAATACAAAGAACAAATTCATTCACCACAATGTTAATATGGTCTAGTGGTGAAGGCACCAGGCTGGAAAACAGGAGACGGGGAGTTCTAGTCCCACCTCAGGCATGAAAGCCAGCGGGGTGACTTTGGGCCAGTCCCCATCTCTCAGCCCAACTCACCTCACAGGGTTGTTGTTGTGGGGGAAATAGGAGGAGGAAGGAGTATTAGGCATGTTCGCCACCTTGAGTTACTTATAAAAATAATAAAGGTGGGATAAAAAAAAATACAAAATATAGTATCTCAGTGACCTCTTATTTCTGCTCAGTAAACGGAAGTAAAAATGCACTTAATAAAACTGAAGGAGTTTGGAGTGGAGACAAGAAAACTTTCTGCACACTGTAAAATATCTAGATCTGGGAGGCTGTCAATGCCGTCTTGAAAGGGGCAGTCTGCAGCCTTGGAAGAGGCCGTGGTCCACCTGCTCCTTAGGAAGCCCTCCTTCGATTGGGCCGTAACTGCTGGTTGGTCTCCAACCTATCCATTTTGGATACTAGATCTGGGGAAAGTTGTTAAGGGGATGGTGGGAAGCCATTTACAGAGTGCCTTACAAGAAGTGGATTATCTGAATTCCTTTCAGTTGGGCTTAGGCCTGGGCTTGGGACATATAGGACAAGACTGGTTGGGATTCGGTCAAAAGAGGCACGCTTGGACTACTGCGATGTGCTTTACATGGAGCTTCCTTTGAGGAGCATCTGGAAACTGCACCTGGCAGCAAATGTGGCAGCTCGCTTTCTGCTGGATGCTGGCCACAAGGAATGGGTTACATCTGTGCTGTGGCATCAGCATAGGTGCTCAATAGCTTCCAGGTGAAAGTCAAAGTGCTGGCTTTGACCAAGAAAGCTTTTCATGGCTTGGCACCAAGGTACCTCCAAAACCATCTTTTCCAACCAGAACTGATCCTGCACTATGCCTGGCCCGAGAGTTGATGGTCATCCCTCATTTTTGAGAAAGGGAGCTGAGGCCAGGAGGCGATGTTTTTCTGTTCCAGCCCAGCCTTATGGTACAGTCTTCCTTTTTAAGTTAGCCTACCCCAACAGAATGACATTCCAGGAGATGGAGTTAGATTGTTATTATTTAGTACATTAATTCTGACTTTATGTTGTTCACTGTAGATGTTTACTGTTTATTGTTGAGATACATTTATCATGTAGGCTTTGACTGTAGGGTTTATCGAAGTAAAGGAGACCCTGGCAGACTTTGTGGGATAAACATGGAATAAATAAGTAAGTAAATATAAAGTGTGGCTGTATAAGTGCCTGAAAAAGAAAACAGCTGTTGCTACTACCAGTAGAGAAAGACAAAGCAGAACAAATTGCCATGGATGCTTTAATGTGATTTCTGCAGACTCGGGAGGTGAATCTGGTGCCTAAAATGGCCCTTTCCAGTTCTACAGGATATAATTTTTAGCCGGAATTCGCCCATATATTTTGCAACACAATGTCTCAAAGACAGAAAGCTGCAAAACAAAACAAAACAAAACAAAAACAAACAAACAAAAAAAAACAGGCTCCCAGTAAGGACCCTGCCAATTAGTTTCGGGGCATGGAAATTTGCAATAATGGAAGTAGGCAGACTGTCTTCCTGTCCCACCCATAAACAGTCCAATCCCACTAAACTAGGCACGATGATATTTAAGGAGGAAATAACAACCGCACAACTCGCTTGGGGATCTCCCTTTGTTTTATCCCTGTAACAATAACCTGGTGGGATAGAGTAGCGTGCCAAGCCACTCAGTGACTTTTTATGGCTGAGGGTGGGTTAAAACGAACGTGTCTACAGTCCTAGTCCAGCACCATAACCCTCAACCCCACTGGCTCATGTAAAGACCCAGAGATAATTTCCAAATCACTGTGAGACGCAGGGACCACTTAAGATCGTGAAAGCCTACGTAAGACTTCATCCCATCCCACCCAGCCTCTCTGCAGCTCCGGCAAAGGAGCAGCTATTGAGTTAATCCTGAGCAGCTTCTGGAGAACAGTTTGCTCTCAGTCTGCCATACGGCAGCAGGCTTCAGCCTGGCACTTGGCATGTTTGTGGCCTGGACAGCAAGGTTGGTTTCTCAGCTAAATCTGGACAAAGATGTCCTTCGGTCCAGCTTGACTCCTGCCAACTATGCAGGCCCATTCATGGCCACAGTACAGCAATGGGTTATCATCTTCTTCCAGATGATTTCCTGATGGTCTCCCTTACAAGTATTGCCGAGGTCCAAGCCGACTTAACTTCTGGGCCCAGACAAAGTCAACTAGTTGCTTCCATCTGTAGGACAAAACACAACAGAGGAAGGGGCTTATACCCACCAACACCCATAACATCGTGATCGCACTTCATCATTTGTCAATTGTAAAAATACATAAAGTTTGGGGCAAATTTTAATTCAGTACCCCAGTCACAACTGCCATGGTTGCTTACAAGGTTGTCCTTGCTTACAGTAAACTACAGAATACAACTGTCATACTGTAACAGATAAATATAATCGGCTACATGTTTTACCATTCTTGCCTGAAACCGAGCTTCCCTTAATGTGTTTCTCGATTAATCCAGATGCAAGCACAGTCCAGCCTGTCCAAGCAAACTGAAGATTTAGAACCGTTTTAGTCATCACAGCAAATGCGAGAAATGCATGGATCACCACAAAGATTGCAATGCACCGCTCCAGATTTCTGAACTACGATCTATGATGTCTTGTGAGAAAGAAACGCAGGCATTTGTTTGGTTAATTTCTGGTGCTATGAAAAGGGAAATGACCATACATCAAAAAACAACTGCAACACACAGCAAATGCTAAAAGTATAACGCATGCCAGGCAAAGTCCCACAGCGGGGCGCTAACCTGCTGCCATAGCGGTGTGCTGCTGGTCGGACCCTAATACCGGCCCGTTCCAGCCTTTTCAGCTTCCTGATTTCCTCTGGACCTTTTTCATCCTTCCTGGGCCCTGCTGTTTTGTTTCCAGAACATGTAAGAAACTGATGTAAAGGGTTCTTCTGACTCGTGTCTGTCTGAACAGGCTTCGCAGAGGGGGCTGCAGTGGTAATTCTGCTGCTCACGAGGTCTCCTTCAACTGGCACCAGGAGTTCACTTTGTTCTTCTTCTATAGTTTCAGGACGGAGTTTGCTATCGAGTTATATAGGGCAGGTTATTACACAGCACGTGCCTGATTCCTTAGCTGGTCCTAACTGTGACACTGCAGATCAGGTAGGTTTCTCTACATCAAACTAATTTTTTTAAAGAAAATATGCAGATATTAAAGGAAAATTGCCCGTCTACCTCTTAATGTCCAGATGTGCAGACCAAGATGTTCCACAGAATATTATACATTCGGACACATCTAAACTAAAACAATCCGACTGAAGTAACTGCCAAGTTGTTAACGCTTGGACGTCGATGTGAAAAAAACACCAGCAAAAAGAAAACGGACCAGCCTTGATGAGCACAATGTCCCCGTCTGAATTCAGCAGGGCTAACATGTCTACAAGCAGTGCGTCTGAATGGACACGGACCCAGAATTCTTATTCATTTGTTCTTTCTCAAATTACCACCTGTGCACAAAGGAGGAATGAGTGAAAAGATACTCACTGCCCTATCTCTATATTATGTATGCAATGACCCATCCCTGCTACCTTCTGCAGCTGGTTATTTGCTGTATTTGTCCAGGTTCCTGTGTGAGTTGCCACCTTCTCAACTGTGCAGGGACCCTTAACAAAAATACAATTTCCCTATTTATTTATTTATTACATTTCTATAGCCGCCCATCTCACGCTTGTGACGCTGTTCCATGGGAGCAAGGTAGTTCCCTGGTCCAGGGAGGCAGGGTCAATGACAGCCCACACGAGGAGGAATCAGTGAAAAATGATATGGAGGATATGACATTTGGCCTTGGATGGCCACACTGACTGACATCCCTTCCAACCAGCAAATCACATAAACAGAATGGGAAAAGAAGTGACAGGCCATGGCTCACGTAAATCAGTTCCAACTCCTCTCTTTGAACTCTTTCCATCCCAGCTGGTTGTAAGGCAGCCAGCAACGTCAAGGGCGTATTGCAACGCTGCAGCTGCCATAGGCTGGGTTTGCCTTCTTCCTTCTTCTGCTTCCCTTTATTTTTGTGTCATGAAGCTTTAATCTAACTGTGATTTTATCGATCTGTAAACCTCTCTGGATTAAGGGTGGACTGTAAATTCTCAATTAAATAAAAAAATATGTAAGTCGGTGAACAATGCCAGGAAGTTGCACATGCCAAGATCAAGTTGCCAATTCACATCTTACTTCCCTACTTTTTTTTCATCTGTTGAAGCCTATGACATTTTACAGAGTAATATTAGTCAACAAACACTCTCTGTATTTAGGACTTACCATCTGAGACAGTGAACAGAGGGACAAGAAACAGGACAGCTGTAACAGTGCTGGAATAAATGCAGTAGATTTTCAGGATGTGTTTAATGAGGACCAAGGGTGCCCACAGGGGCGAGGCTTCAGTCACACAGTCAAGACTGCTATTTTGACTTTTTTGACTCTCCCCCTCCTCCCATAGACATCTCTGATGAGGACTAAGGGCTCTTGGAAAAGGAGAATATAGGAGGGTTTTGAAGACATCATGCCAGCACATGAACACAAAATAGGAGCAAGAATCTATGGGAAACTTTTAGAACATCTGAAAAAAAGTTCCTGCCTTCCAACTGCATGAACCAATAGCAAAGCATCCATTTATAAACAAAGCAGATCACAAGTAAGACTGGAGGGAATCCAAAGTAGTATTTCCATCAACTGAGAACAGCCACACTATTTATGTAAGACTATCAGGAAAAATTAATTTGAAATTACTAACAAACAATTAAGCAAGAGAAGAGCAAGAAAGGTCACCTGTGAAAGGAAGAGGCCCTTTAGATGGCTTTGTATGACATGATCTGGTCTTCTGAAGTTTGGTGAAGACCTTACCTGAAAGGTCTCTCTCCTCCTAGTGGAGATGAAACTGTACTCCAGCTCTTTCGGAAGTCATCTCGTTCAGCTTTCTTCTTCCTGAGAGGAGCCGGAATATAGGCAGTCTGGTTACTTTTATTGGGGAGGTATTGGTTAAAAGGCACAACTGATTTGGGTTCACTGTAAGATGTCCGCCTTGCAGACATATCATCTTTCTTCACATCTGGCAGCTTTCGATGTGGCAGGTCAGATTCAGAGTCGCTTCCTCTTCCTGTTTAAAAAACGATAGGTAAAGTTTCAAAATGGAATCCAAGTGTACCCCATAATCAAAATAATTCCAATTATTTGGCCACAATGGAGTCATTCTTTCCTTTCCTGGCTTAAAATACATAGTTTGCAGACTTAGAGTATTAACTGTCTGCAGAATCTCAAAATATTCTTTAATTTCTATGGACAAACATTAAATTGCTTTATTTCCAGTATTAGTTGGGAATGGACCTTTAAAATGGTTCATAAAGCACATTCTGCTTTAGGATTCCCCATCAAATTTCACAAAGTTACAGTATACGAGAGTGCCACCCCCAAGGTATTTTTTTTTAATTGGAAATCATAAGATTCATTCAGGTAACAGTAGAAAATCACAGCTATAACCTCTACTGTCTTATTTATTATAATTTTGAACGTGAAAGTTCAGATTTACAAGAACTGCAAAGTTTTTGCAGCTCTAAGTAACTGCTCTGGCTCTTCCATGTTTCATATTTCATCATCACCATTTATTTCTTAGTTTCTCAAGGTACGCCTGCCGTGATCAAGGAGACTCTCATTGGTTTACTATACATCTATAAAAAATGCAATAAAATCATCACTGCTACCTATGCTATAGATATAGGAACTACTAGTATGCATTTAATCTGTATATTCCTTTTGTTCCCAAAGAAACAAGTGCCTGAAAATGCTCAAGGGTCTAAGTTGGCACTGAAGCTGGACAGAAGTACTGTCATCTGAAGCCAACTGTACTTTTCTCAGGAGGGAGAAGGTCTTCATCCTAGCCACAACACTGGAAGCCAAAACTATAGAAAAGACCAAAAGCAAGGTCTTTCCAGCTGATCTCACTGCTGAGGCTGTGCAGCACTGGGGGAGGGCCTAAGCCATTTGGGGCTTTATACCCTGTTGCCAACATTGACAAGTAATCAATGCACTGTTTTAAGGATCCATATTATATAGCCCAATGTTGCTCTCCCACTTTTTTATGTGGGAGCTGCATTCTGTACCATTTTCAAGAGTAGACCAACCTCCAGTTGTGGAGTTATTAGGGAATGGACCATTGAAGTTCATTTTTTCCAGTCCAGGAAGGGCTAAAACTTTCACTCCAGCCAAAGCGAGGCACAGACCTTCCATACTGCTGAAGGTACCTACATATCTAGCATTAGCTTGAATCAAGAATGGCCCTGAAGCAATGGCCATGTTTCTTCAAGGGGACTGCAATTTCATCCCAATAGGGCATTTATCAAATTCTGAAACAGCACTTCCATTGATTTGGAATCAGCTAGTTTATTGGCACTCATCCAGCCCATCCCTGCCTTCAGGCAACTGTCAACATCTGCCAGTCTTGATTAAATTGCTGTGAATGGGAGATAGAATTGAGTGATCATCATACTGGTGTCAATAAACTTCTGAACTGCAGGTGATCTCTCCCAGGGTTTTTATTTAGATAACGAACAACAGGGTTGATGAAATTCCAAAAGAAAAAAAAAACAGATGGACATTTCTGTGGTATCAAATAAAGTATTAGCATCCTCCCCAGTCAAGACTTAGTTAGAAAGAGGATCAAAGGCAGTAAGAAGGCCTCACCAGAATATTCTCACTATGAATGCAAGATGGAAGAAAGACATTTGTGCAGAGGGAAATGGAGCAGAGACCTTATCATCAGGGAAATAAGAGGTTGCCCCCCCCCCCATTAATGCTATTTCCCCATTCTAAATGTGTTTCTTGCAAGAAATGTTATACTGGGCAACTCCATACTATATCTAATAGATGCCTGCTTTCATGAATGTGTGAAGTTTGGTGTGAGGAGATAGCATTGTTACCGTAAGAACAAAGTATTTAAAGGAGCACAAAGAATAACAATCAGAAGTTATTTAAGGAGAAGATACAATTATTTTAACCATCATCTAATTATTCCACAAATAATGCATTTAATCCTTTGCCCCTCAAGGCGTCTCTTGATGGAAAAAGAACAGTCCAAGGAGTAAAGAAAGGGCCACATATGAAAAATCAATTTTGCCAGGTTTTATAAACATAAAATAATGATTAATACACTTGTTCTTACTGGCATTAAACAGTAGAAGTTAACCAGAAGTTCAATAAATGCAACATTAAATTTGGGCTAGGAAAATGCTCATGCAGCTCGAAAGCTCGCTGAAGACCTTGGCCGCCCCCTTGGGGGGCTGTTGTGATGATAAAAACCAGACAGCCCCTCTAAGGACAAAATTAGACCATAAATACATCTTCTTACAATGAAACATTGTTACAAGTCTGATAAGATCAGTGAGCCTAAGCACGCATAATTCTGTGTTCAATCACTGGTTTAAGCGCTGCGCTTTAATTGCATTATTTTGGGAAAGTAAGAAGAAACATTTCTTCCCCCCTTCATGATCTTTCAGCTACGGTCCTACTCAGCACAGGGAACTGAAGAGCAAGATAAAATCACTCTCTTAAAGAAAAGATTACTATTACAGCTACTATGCTTTGGTTAGTAATAGCCATTCGAGTGTGTTTTTGCTAACAATTTTTAGATCTACGTGACGAGAAAAAAAACAACACCAAACCAAACTTCTTTCTACTGTACATTGTTTTGTTTCACTGTACATGTGAGTTGTTTACCACGCCAAAAGTACAGTAGGGTTACTTTGTTGGGGTATGTGTTCCAAGCAATGTTTTCTTCATCCTTGTGCGCTCATTAACTTTAGAACTCCTTTTATTAGTTAAATAAATGTCTGCTTCCTATCTCCTTCCTTCAGATGGAAGAAACACCGCCTCATAAATTTAAGGCTATGATGAGCAACTATTCCTCCCACAGCTCACGGCTGCGAGTGAGAAAAGGCTGCAAGCAAATCATCTCGAGCCATAAATCCTCTTTCCAATCAAACTCTTCTCCAACTTCTCAGGATTAGCAAGAGACATCACGTTTCCACAACGGAAGCCAGCTGTGGAAACTGCAGCATTTTACACCACGGAGCCGTATGTCACCTGGAATAGGAGCCTCGGGGAACACAACTTACCATCGCTACTTCCTCTTAGCACCACATCTGGAGACGGGGTCTGCTGGGAACGTGAGCCGAAGGAATCCAGACTGTCAAAAGAATCATCTCTGCCGTGGCGTGGGGGAGAAAGAGAGTCGCTGCGTTCAGAGTCCCAGCAATCTACGTAGCCGCTGTCACGGATACTGCGCTTAGGGCTCTCAATGTCCTCCGTGTCCTGATGTGGAATAGAAGCCTTTTTAGAAATGCACATCCTCCAAATGCATTAATGACGAATACATCTAGTATACACATGGCATGGTTGCAAGGAGTACCACAAAAGTAGGGTTCTTCTGATACTCACACATTTATTTTATGCTACGGTGGCCTCAGATCAAATAGATTTTCCTTACTGCAATCACTGTTCTTGCATCAAGTAAGTTTTGTAGGTTTCTGAAACATTACTACAACTTGTTTAACCAGAAGCCACCAGGAGATAAAAGACGAATGTGCAGACACTGTGGGAAACACGTAATTTGACTTTCAATTCTTTTTAAAAAGCCTATTTGTTTCTCTCCCGTCCAGCCCAAAAGATCTGAGGATGAAAGTCGGTAACATAATCCAGAGGCAAGCATTTCTGTTTTTACATTACTTTTTAAATATTTGGGCTTCCCCCCATTCTCTCGCCATATAAATTAAAAGTGCCCTTTCCAATTACTCATACGAGTCTGCTGTGAAAAGCAGAACAAAATTCACAGTTCACTGCCCAAAACAGAAACATAAGCCTAATTTATGCAGATAGCTAAAAAAAAAGAAGAAGAAGAATTTAGAGAAGCAGTTTTACACATCTGATAAAAAAAAAGTTGTGTTAATCTTCCACAACAAGTTCAGCCAAGGATCTTGTAACAGATTTACTAAGCTAATGCATCTACCATAGCAGGAACATTTGCAAAACAGAACTCGCTTTGACCAAATGCACGTTTAGTAACACATCGAGGAGGTAAAAATAAGTAAGGCAACCTGAAACATGGCTAGTCCTTCATCGACGTCCACTTCACAGGGGCTATTGTCCATATCGCACAAGGAAAGGCATCTTGGGTTTAGGTTAGCAGGCAAAACATATCTAACCTCACTGAGCGGATTCTTTCAAACTAACGTATGTTGGCCTGGAACACCAGCAAAGCGAATTGACTGCTGTTGTTGCTTCTGGCTCAGCCAAAATAACGAAGCAAGGCACTCCGGCCTCCAACAGCTCCTTCCACGTTGAGGAGAAATTCCAGCTCTAAAAGAGGGGGTGTCTGTCTTCCTAAAGCGATCGGCGGTTTGAAAAAAAAAAAGAAAGAAAGAAGCAAAACCCTTTCCCTGATGCCTCTGAAGAATTCAATCTTGCTCTTTGCTTGTTGCCAGCTCCTGGCTGCAGGAGATCTGAAAGCGCTCGTAGCTGCCCCACATGTTCAGAGCAATGAGAACAATGGATGTCTTTGACAGCCTCACGATTATAAATTCTTTCCAGTGCGAGCTGCACATACTAAAACACTGAGCGCTCCAGAAGAAGAAAAGGTCAGGAGAACCTCAGACTTGCTTTATTAGAACGCTGCCCCTTGTTTCAGCCAGTATCTTATCATTCAGAGCCAGACTTTTAAAAGTTGCGTTCTCCCCTCTCCTTCCTCCCTTTGAACCCAACAGAAAAGCACAACATTATCACGCTCAGATGTAATAGTGAGATATGCCTCTCGGAGGTCAGTTTAAAATCTGAAATGCTGCTCATGGCAGGCGGGTCAAATTTCATTCAACAAGCAGCAGCTCGGAATTGAGTCTGTGGTAATTTCTCTCGTGGTAAACAGTCGTGATGGCCCAAGACTTCCTAAGGGTGCTCCCCAATGACAAACCGAGATCCCTGACTGCATTAGTTGTGAGGGAGCCCCTACTATTAGGAGTGAACGTGAGAAACCCAGCAGGGGTGACCACGGGGTGCGGTGCAGCAAGGCCAAACGGTGGGCATGAGGCTGCAATCGGTTTTTATAAAAAACAGGCAGAGCTTCGGCTGCACTGCTGTGGCCACGATCTTAACTTCTTTTTACCATACCGTGCTGACACCCCTAAAACCCAGGCATGAAATATACTAACCAAAAGGAAATTTTGGCTTTTCGTGTAGCAAGCACCTTAAAGAAACTGAATGTCCATCGAAGCGCAATATGCATTTGCAAACAAGTGTTTCTCAGTTGCATTCTTAGGGGTACATTAAACTCTCCATGGCTGTGTTTAAGCCAAGGCAGCTGTCCAGGCCCTTCAAAAAGGAATTTCCTCCATTTTTGAGAGGAACGTCTTCCTGGGTGCACATAGGAGAGTAACATCTCTACATACCGACTTGGCAGAGGGATGGTAGAAGGTGATGCGCCTTTCCGACTGGTCTGTTCTGCACCATCCCTAAATCTAGGTGCCTTACTGGGCGAAAAGATGCCCTCTGATTTGTGTACTTTTATGTGCATCTGCCAAATTTAATTGGGCGCTCGAGTGGAAATAATGTTGATCATCATGGAGGGCATGGGGAGGAATGGATTTAGATAGTGCAGGGATGACTAGACATATGGTAGAGATATACAGCACCAAATGCAGGATTCCTATCAGTAGATGGGAGTGGGTAAGGCTGGGTACCCAATACAATTCTTTAGATTGCAATATTATTCTCACTTGCCTGGGCTAAAACTCCTCAAGCAAATATAATTTCTTCCCTCACCCTAAATTTTGGGTACTGTTCCACTCCAGGTGTCCACAACCGAAGTAACTGGATATGTTTTGCTCTTAGAAATAAAAAAGGAGACTGACAATGGAAGCATCTTCTTTGAGTTTAGCTTGACTTCTGGTAACTACTTCTTGGAAACCACACAGAAATGGTTTGCAACCGCCTTCCCCTGCAAGGTAATTTTGACTTCTTTGTCCAGGCTACAGCCCTGGGACTTCCTGGTGGTGTCCCCTATCCAAGTATTAACCAGGTCTGACCATTTTAGCTTTTTAGTATCTTTCAAGGTCAGCTATGGGATGTGTAAAATAAACGATTATTGATCTTGCGGTGCTCCTTTAATGAACCCCCAAAACCTTTCTAGAGTTTAGAGAACAACCTTCCTCTGCTTAATTGTAGGGCCAACAGGTCACACTATACGCTGCCAGGCCTCCGCACCCTGCAAGCCAAATTCCTATTAAAAACTCTCTTTGCCTCCCTGCACATCTCCTCCACAAATGGGACATCTTTTCCCTGGGACTACAGCTTTTGCATACCAACAGCCTGCATTTAATCCTTTGGCAAACTGCCATTTTTTAGAAGCAAAGGGAGGAAAAGGAGAAAATGCTGGGCCATCACTGAAAGTTCAGCCACAACAGGCCTGAAAATCAGAGAAACTATCCGGTGACACACAGACCGTATTTCATTCATAAAACATTCCTGAAATATAAAAAAGCTTTGTTGCTCTCTCTCTCTCTTTTAAAAAAGACTAGGCATCTGAATGAATCAAAAAAAGGAGTGAATGCGTGAATGAATGAATGAATGAATGAATGAATGAATGAATGAATGAATGAATGAATGAGCAAATTGTAGAAAAAAAGCTTTGGTTCTAAAACGGCAACCGTTGTTAATATGTCCTCTGAATAGCAGTTCAGTTCATCTTGGTTTAGTCTGGCATGCCGATAATTCAAAAGGGCAGAAGGGTGCATAACAGAATGCCAACAAAGAGGAAGTCCATTCCTCTATTTCTATATAACTGGAGAAAATCAGGATTTAAGAATGCCAAGAATGAGAGGCTTCTAACTAAAAAGGTAAGCTTTAGCCACCAATTAATGAATATGAGTCTACCTTACAGCCACCGTAAGGATTGTCTAGATAAGAGCTATGAAGCAGCTGGTAATATAAAAAAGATTATGTAATGCAAGGAAATACATTTCATTATACTAATAGATACACAAACAACGATGCCGCCTATTGTTACATCTTCCTTTCAAACAAGTAATTCCAGCCCACTGCACACAATACAATACAGCATTTTTTATTTTTAAAAACGTTTTGATCATCTGTGGCTTGGCACTCCATAATACAGCAGCTATCATAGCCATGTGGAGAACGTCAAGCCCACCAATATGCCGTAAAAGTTGTTTTAATGGACGATCTCATTCCTCCAGAACTTCCCGTATATTGCGAACATATTGTGGATCAAAATGTCCAGAAAATATCGTACTAGAAATGTATGATGATGATGATTGGTCACACAGTCAGTCAGAAGTTTAGCCTGGATTTGGCATTTGTATCCACCTATCGAGTCCTTCCCAAGGACCTGGGATAGGCAGATGTGGTTGTGTGATGGCGTTAAAGGTATTGTTGCAGGATGGAAGCTGTTCCAAGTAAAGCTGGCTTTATACCTGAACACCATCGGCATGACTGATGGTGATTTTGTCAATGCCGATGGTCTTCAAGTGGTACTCCAGACGTTTTGGGATTTGCACCCAAGGCACCTATTACTATTGGTACTATCTTTGCTTTCTCTTGCCACAGTTGTCCTATTTCTATTTGCAGGTCTTTGTATTTTGTGATTTTCTCCGGTTCTTTCTCTTCTATCCCGCTCTCTCCAGCGGTACTGCAGTGTCCACTATCCAGACTTTTTTGTCTTTCTTATCAACAGTTGTTAAGTTTGGGGTGTTACGTGGCAGGTGCTTGTCTGTTTGAATTCTGAAGTCCCAGAGCACTTGAGCTTCTTCATTTTCTATGGCTTTGTTTTATGGTCCCACCAGTTCTTAGTTGCAGGCAAATGGTATTTCTTGCAAATATTCCAATGCACCATTTTTGCTGCTTTGTCATGTTGGTAGTCAGTCTGTGTGATCTTCTTGCAGCAGCTGACTAGGTGGTCCACTGTTTCTTCAGCTTTTTTGCAGAAGCGACATTTGCTGTCTGTTGCTGTCTTCTCGATTCTGGCTTTGTATGTGTTTGTTCTTGAGGGTTGGTCTTGCACAGCCAGAATGAGCCCCTCTGTCTCTCTCTTCAACTTTCCTGCTCTTAGCCATTGCCAGGCCTTGCTGTTATCTGCTTTGCCTGCTAGTTCTTTTGTGCACTGGCCGTGTAATACTTTGCCCTGCCATGTCTCTTTTCTATTCTTTGTTTGGTCTTTCTTATAAGCCAGTTTGGTCTCTTTAGTATTCAGTAAGCCTTCATGGTGTAGTAGCTTCAGTGCATCTTCTTCACCGTCCTCCAGATACTCTTCCAATGCCCTTTTTTCTTCTTCAACTGTCTGGTGTACTTGCGACATTCCACACCCACCTATGCTCCTTGGTAAGTAGAGTCTGTCAACGTTGCTGCATGGATGAAGAGCATGATTCATTGTCATTATTTTTCTGATCTTCCTATGCAGGGATTTTAGTTCAGCTTGAGTCTAGTCCACTATTCTAGCTGTATATCTAATGACTGGAAATGCCCAGGTGTTAATTGTCTTGATGGTATTTCCACCACTGAGTTTGGACTTCTTCACTCTTCTGAGGTATTCACTACTAATCTTCTTCTTGACATTATTATTATTATTATTATTATTATTATTATTATTATTTTGTCCTGTTGTTCTGTGGTTGGACAGAGTGATATATAAGCATCAAAGGCTGAATCAGATTCTGGGGCTTGGTCCAAATCTTACCCAAGACACAGTGATGGAAACAATAATATTTTGTTCCTGTTGATCAAAACATTATCCAGCATATGCTTCACTGAAAGCAAGAACTCTTCCTCCAGAAGACACAATTATGTTACTGTAAAGTATAAACTTTTTAGTTTTGCATGCAATCGTTTCTCAAAAAATTTATAAAAATATGAATAGGTTGGTTAGCCTTTATTCAGTACAACTTTGTGGAACAAGGAGATGAACTATCTATGGTGATTTACACATATCTGTGAAGAATGCAGCTTAAAAAAAGTGAAAGGATATTTTATATGCATCAAACTGTAAAAAAAGAGATGTTATTTTAAAAAGCGTCATCAAAAGATAGATGTAGCATTCCAGTGACACAAATGGTTTTGTTATAGTGGAGTTTCACTCAGAAATAATATACTGATCAGCGTAACCCTGATACTGCCATGTAATAATTATAACTCTCATATGATATATAGGCAACTGCATGGGGGCGAGTGATATCACGTATGTCACAGCATCAATTCACAAATGATGCGAATTACATAACTATGATGCGACCGATGCAATGTCCTTCGAGCAATGAGGTAATTAGGTGTGAAGTCTCTGCGGCTCCTATCAGATAAGTCCTATGGCGTCCTATGATACTTACCTGAACACAACTTTATTCTTTGTATTGGGTTCAAAAATATGGACTCCATCTTTTAATACAATGAGGTATAAAGCAGATTAAAAGTTACATTTATGCTGTTTTCTAGTGTCCTCAACCATCGTTGTGGTCTGACTTCACCCAAGAAGCAGGAATGGAACCCATTAAGGAGTCTCAGAAGAATCCAAGAAGTTCTAACTAATAAACTTTATCGAAGATAGGTTAAAAAAGCCCTAACCAAAGAATTCTAGTGACTGCTTTGATTCAAGAGCACACGCTGGATCTTGAAACAATATTGAAACCCCTTTGTGCCTCTTTCTTGTTTCCACCCCAAGTAATGAACCATCCAGACCCTCCTCTTTCGTGCAGGAAGGCCGATTTCCATCTGTCCCTTGTTTTTGCAGATTTGCTCTCCTGCTATTACCCAGGTGTTTTATAACTTTTAAAAGCCTATCATAATGTTGGTACTGTCCACCATTTTCTGAGGTGATGATCATAGACTTATTTGGAAATTCAAACTGAATTCAATTTACTGAAATTAAGAAAACGTAAATATGTTTTGTACACTCATGGAAGGGTTGCTTTTTCAGTATTCCACAACGTTTGTCAACCTGATGCTTTCCAAGCATGTTGGGACTGAGAGATTATGGGACTTTAAACCTCAGGCAGATGAGTAAAGACAGTGATTATATATCCAAGTTTGACAGCATAAATTACACATTAAGGATACAGATACACTGTAATAGCTTTAACAAAATAAATACTGCATGGAATTTGTTTAGAATCTGTAAGAAAAGAATGTCTTAATTCCACAATCTTCAACAAGCTTTACAAACAGTAAAATAAAATAAAATAAAAATAAAATAAAATAAAATAAAATAAAATAAAATAAAATAAAATAAAATAAAATAAAATATAAAACACAGCACTACACACCTGCTACATGCAGGCTGAAAATGTATTTGTTTATTTAACTATGTATAAACTGTCCCAATCCATATGGATTGTCTGGGAGAAATCCAAGTCCTGCATAATAATGTATGCATCTCTTGTGTATGAGAGCAATTGAAATACCTTTCTCATCTGGGTTAGCAATCCTTCAAACTCTTTCAGATTCAATGGTGCTCCACTGTAGTAACTGCTGTTGTTTGCAGTTTTCCCCAGCCAATAGATGGTGACTAAAACCTGAAGAATTCAACGAACATTAATTGGGAACGAATCAAAGCCACTGAATGCATTTAGTACGACGACTAAAGACTCTTTTAGTCTTTCTAGAGCAAATTAAATATGTTCCCTGTTATTTTCTTTGAAAGCTGTCTATTTTGCTGAAGAGCAGGACAGAAGCTTTCTTTCATGTTACGGAAGAAAAAGAACATTAAATGTGACACCCATAACAAACTTTGTAATCCCAACAGAAGTATTGTAATGTACGTAAACTTGCACGAATAGTTTATTCTCAAACTTCATTCGTTTTAATAAGTTTTACAGAAACAACTACCCCACCAAAAGAAAACAAAAAGAGAAATATATGAAAAGGGGGGGGGGGACCCAGCAACCTACTTAACCAAAAACATCCCCCACAAAAAAGCTAACAAGGGGGAAACTATCTGTCTGTCTGTCTGTCTGTCTTTAAAAAAAATATTCATCAAATGCCAAACCAGTTTCTAATTCTACATTTAAAAAGGTGGTTCTCTAACATTTCCAAATACTGTATCATAACATTTATACCAAAGAAGAACATATTAAGTCATTTTTTGATCAGTAGATAAAATTTGCCTTTGCAAAAACAAGGTACACATCTCTTAAATCCAATCATTAATGTCAAGAATACTGTTACTTTTCCAGTTTCTCAAAATTATTATCGTAGCCTGATATAACCATAACTTCTCAAAAACAGTCAAAGTTTTGGAACATAATTTTTAACATTAACATTAAAAAAATTCCCCATAAATCTACTTATGTACCTTGTCCCCCAAAGATGTCAATAATTCGCAAGACCAAATCGTATAAGTCAACGAGCCCTCACATTTTTTACATTGCCAGCAAAGAAAATCTTCTCAAACTTCATTCAACAACATTCAGAAAACAAAAATATCTCCCACAACACAGATGAACACAGCATGCACACTTCCTTCAACGATCAATAACATTAAAAAAATTATTTGGCAAGTAATCTTATATTTCTATGGTTAGACATTCTAGGATATTGAAATGATTTGCTAAGATTTTGACAAAGACGCTGCCTGTATGCCAAGTGACTAGAGAGAAGTTAGTTTGATTCATCTGTCATTCTAATAACTGCTTTTTCATTTTTAATTGTGAAAAAAATAGACACAAATCCCAAAGTAATAGGTACCTTCTCCGTAATGTTCATGAAACAGTCTTTTCTATGTACAAAATCTCTAGAAGAGTGTTTTTCAAACTTGGCCTCTTTACC